GTATACTGCTAATACAGTTCTTTTCCCCAAAGGAAGCAAGTCATGCTTATCTTACATTACCAGACTATTACTGGAAGTACTATGCCAGACCCTCAGCTGGCATATATCAACGTGACCCTATTCACTTCAGTGCAGCTATGTTGATTTATGTGAGCTGAAAAGTATGTACCGGTCAAAAAGTGACTATTTCATCTTACAAAACTGTAAAAGTGACTAAGTGAAATGCAAGGGAAATCAAAGGAAAGGCAGTATGTATAATAAAAAGAAAATAACAGAAAGGAAAGTACTACAGAAAGGCTCAAAGTAGATGTATATTTTATTAAGATTAGTCTAACATAGCCACTAATTTTTCTTCATATGAAATTTTAGATAATAGTTTCTGCTGCTACGTACACATGTATCTCTTGAGTAGGGACACAAGTACTTGTGCAATTTAATAACGCTGTACTATTCCCAAATTAAGAGGTAAGGCTTAGGCAGTGGGTCCAGCCAACCTGGAATTTATCACTGGTGTTTTTGTAAAGTCACTCTGACTGTCAGAACATGAAACATCATACTTAAAAGAAAGCCCACACAGCAAACTTAAGTGCTCAGCTTTACAGTATGGCATTGCATCTTAAGAACTACTCCTATGACAGTCTTTCTCTCATAGGGCAAGATAAAAGTAGAAAACCAAATGTTCTCAAAGCCAGGACTTCTTTCAAGCCTTTGTGATTTTGAGGAATACGACACCACTCATATTAGACTTAAGCACTCTTTACCCTTATGAACTCTGAGTAGACTTCCGTATTATTATACAGGCTACATGAGATTAACTACTGGTGCTCCTTTCTGAGTTTAAACCAGAAGGCTCAGAAGAAGAACTGGCATTCTGAAATAAGAGGTGTGTATTCCTAAACTCTTTTCACAAGGAAGCAGTTCTTGAGATTAGATAGTTCTCATTTTCACTAGGTTTGTGTATTGCTGCCCCTACAGTACAATATCAGAACACTATATAAAGAGGGATTGTGACAGGTGTACTTGACCTTCTTAACCAAACTAGCAATAGCTTAGTTCAGGCTCCAAAGGAGGTAAAGGCCTGAGCTGTAGCTGGGTAAAGAACTCCTCCAGGAAACCCACAAAGGGCCAGAGTGACCCAGAGTGCACCAATGCACATGAGCTTGGAACACATGAATAGTGGGTGGTTTTTCCAAGATTCAATTATCAAGGAACAAAGAAAGTTGTGGGTACAAAGAGTGTCATACATACCTTTCCCATCACATGTAATTTGACTACAAGCCAACCACTTTATCCCATAAAGATGAGAGCCTAAATGAGCCGTCTTTGAGGTCTCCCTGCTAGGCAATGTGGCAGTGCTCTCCTTGAGTTAGGACGCCTCTCAAGGTTGTCCCTTGAGCCAGAAAGACCTTTCTTCTCGTGACAGATCTTTGGATAAGTCCAGTTTGAGTTCTCTTTAAATTGCAACTGGACTTCATGGCAGTGCCTCTCCCCTTGATCTGGAACCCATCTCAAGGTTTGAGATTCCTTGCCTGGGACTTCATTATCCAAAGTGGAGAGATCCCTTATTCATAACAGATGCTCAGTAAGTTGCAGAGCATGCTAGTTCATTAATACTAATGAATAAATGAAAGAATTAATTCCTTTAGACATAAACTGTTGTACAGGTCTGAGACTAAGATTGGAACTACCTTCACTAAAGTTCCACCAGGAGTTTAGAAAGCAAGGAAGTGCACCCTGAACCTCATGACTCAGTGGGTCTCCCTTACACTTAAGTGTTTTCGGTTTCTGTGCAAATCACTGTAAATTGATTCTAACTCAATTTTCCTTTGCATTTCTTCACCTATGTAGTAAATGAGAGTGAATCTTGCCTTCAAACTTTGTTAAGTCATACTTTTATAAATTTGTATAAAAACTATTTTTGTTAATAGTTTTGAGGGTGATTCTTTGAGGGACCCTAAACCTCTCATTTACAATACAGATCATGAAGCAAACTCTTTACAATTGTCTACTCAATTCAACATCAGTGACCAGCTGCTAAAAGCCACTTGACAGACAACTGCAATTCACCATCCTTCACCATGAGCACTGGTACTTCAAATACAAATACTTCTGTATTTGATCATAGTCCACAATTCAGCCTGTCAGGTACAAAAAATGCATTCTGCTTATCCTTAACAGTGCCTTACAATGTCGCATACCTCATGGATCCCTGCCTACAAGAAATACTGGGGTTCGTCTCTTCACAATGTTCTCCTAGAAATACATTCACTGTAGGAAGCCTACAGAAATTTTCAGAAGTATGGTTAACACTTTAGACATGCACTGTTTGCCAGGACTGATCATAGAATCACACAGTGTTAAAGGGTTGGAATGGACCTTAAAGATCATCTAGTTTTAATCCCACTTGCCATGGGCAGGGACACCTCCCACTAGACCAAGTTGCTCGAGGCCTTTTCCAACCTGGCATTGAACACTGCCAAGTTTGGAGCATCCACAACTTCCCTGGGTAACCTGCTCCATGTCTAACCATCGTCTTCTTAATATCTAATAACCATTTCTTCTAAATATTTAAACTTCCCCCCTTTCAATGTGTACCCATTACTCCTTGTCCTGTCACTACAGTTCCTCATGAAGAGTCCTTCTCCGGCTTCCCTGTAGGTCCCCTTCATATACTGGAAAGTTGCTAGGAGATTTCCATGAAATCTCTTCTCCAGGCTGAACAGCCCCAACTTCCCCAGTCTATCTTCATAAGGGCGATGCTCCAGTCCTCTTATCAACTTCATTGTCCCTCTTCTGTACTTGCTGCAACAGTTCCATGTCCTTTGATCAACTCTGCACCTCAGCAAGAGACACTGCCACAAAATTCTGCTCTTCTCTGACTCCTGGGCATCAGGTTATGTGTAGATGAGATGCACATAGTGCCACCACCAATGGGATGTTGTATTTGATCCATTCAGTGTAATGCCAAACCAACTGGAATAATGGTATGTAATACTGGAAGAAAATATGTGTTGGTTTATTTAGGTATTCCCAATCACTGAAATCAGTAGAATAAAAAAAGGTCAAACCATAAGGCATTTTAAAATTTCCATGTATATTAGCCTCTGGGCATAGGAATTAGAAATCACAGTTAAGTCCTCCTTTTCTCCCAAAGTGCCTTTCTAGTCTTCAAAAGTATTAGGAAAGTGATGAATGGCTATCAAGAAACAATCTCAAAACTACTTTTCTTCCACTTTCTTAGCTGTACAGTTTCTCAGACTTTCTACCATAAAACCACTATGCAAATGGCACTAGCCTGTGGTTACAGTCACTTTCATGGCATGTACTCCTGCTAAGGCAAACAGCATTTCTAGGACAAGTTTCCTGTTCATGGTATAAGGGGCTTAAAACTGCACCCAGCACATACACACAATGAAAAGTACAACCTGAGGCTTCCAAGCACAAACTTGGGTTCTCCATGGGGACATTAAATGTGTTGAAAAGGACTTTGGATTGATAACTCTATTGCAGCAGTGTTGCATCAGGAACAAATGTCAGAGAGATCAAAATAGCAATCAGTACTGAAGTTTTCCTCCTTCAAAATAGCAGAAGTCTACAGAGGAGCAGTACAAATGGTAAATGAGTTTGCATAATTTCCATCTTGTAGCTCCTTAGTGTTACTAGAAATCACGCCAAGCAAATACTAGTTATTGCATATTCTCTCTTTATGTTGGTCAGAATGTTTTAATTACATAGTAATAACTCAGTGCAATTTGGACATCAGTTTTCAGCACACTAAGAATATACCTTGGTAGACTCTCTAATAGAAAGCAAAGTATTAGGGGTTCTAAATGAAACAATGTAGTAAATTTGATTCTCTTTTAATTTTGAGCTTGTGCTGTCATTTGCTTCAGTGAAGTGATGCACCAGCTTCTACACCAAATGTTTGATGCACCACTTACTGTAAATGCTGCCTACCCAGCGTATGATGAGATTTCACAGCTGTGACTTCCAAAGACTGAAATCAATATTTAAATCCTATTGATATCAACTCCTTTTTTCTCTTCTTTTCCACCCCCCTACCCCCCAGCACAGTTACAATTATGGTCTATTTTACATTTGTAAGCATGATTAAAATTTTGTGCCAGGCTATAATTTATATAATTGCATTCCTGTAAAACTTGAATTTATTTTTCATTTAGAAACAGACCACAACAAAAGGCTTCTGCACTGAGAACCCAGTTTTCTGTGCTAATATAAAAGTTTAATTTTAGAGTGTTTTCTACAGTCACAGTACTTACTTAAAGAGCAGAGGAAAACTGTCATTGTTAAAGAGACTTATAATCAGCCATGGACTCTTACTCAAAATACCAGCATTAATTGTTCATAAAGTACTGTAAGCGGAAAAGGGATGATTAAGTGGAATTTAAGCTGCATTGCTATTAAGGATTAAACTGAAAGGCATTTTAAAGCCATGTGTTAAAAGCCGTCTTGTCAGAAGGGATGGGCTATAATTCAAAATACACTCATTAGTCTTTCAAATTTAGAGCATCTATTATTTCTGTCTCTCAATTTGACATTTATATGCAAATAAAAACCTTCAGCATATGTCACACCTGAAATTGCATCTGTTTATGTAGTTGCCCAACTAAACATTTAGAAAACTTTCCTTTTTAAATGTGTCTTTTTAACATTTTAGCCTTAACTTATTATCAAGAAGGAAAGAGAATGCAGGGATGTTATGTTATTGCAGTATCTCTCTTTTGATACACAAAGTTAGGTACACAAACCTCCCTTCAGCATCAGAGGGCTACAAAATGGAATACGATGCTCAAAAGGGAAAGCTGTTGCTCTGTAGGCTCTGCCAGAAGGGCAACATTAAATGCCATGAGTAGGCTACAAGTCATGACACCCTCCCTACGGAATTCTGGCGAGTTTAAATGAAACCTGTGGATACGTTGTTTCATTTTTCTGATCAGATGTATGCAAAGTTGGGAAGAGGTTCACATGGATTTTCTAACCTCTCCTGGGGCTTTCATGATTGAAGAGGATGCCGTTCACAGCAAAGAGATTGTAGGCTTCTCTGAAGTTCACCACAATCCAGTAGGCATACAGTTTTGCTGCCCCTATAAAAATAATTTTGAAGCGTTATTGTATATCTGCTCAGCTCGTACACAGCTCAGACACAGACACACACATACATCTATTTCACAGGCGGGGTGAAGTTCACATTTCAACAGCAGAGTGCTTTAGAATTTGATTAATTCCCTATATGTGTCAAATTTTATATGGAAAAAAAAATCCAGCCCAATAAACAGCAGCTGACAGGGAAAATACTCATCTTCTGTGCAGCCTCTGAGCTGGCCAGAAAGCATTAGGGCACCTTCTCACTTGTTTTCTTATGCACGCTCAAGAACAGCATTTTTTCTTTTACAATATAATTAACACAGAGCGTGTGAAATACACCACTGTGGTGACCTTTGCTAATTAAAAAAAAACAAACAAAAAAATAACTTTGAAGGAATAAAAGTGAAAATCCGGTGCCTTAACACTTAAATTGATTTGAAAGTTTATCACCGAAGTCCTCCATGCCCATTGCTTTAATAAGTGTTTCAAATTTCATGCGAGTTCATGAAGGAAGAAGTGCGCTCTTGGGAGTTTTTCATTTAGGCAACAAAAAACCCGAAACCTTATCACTTCAGTGGTACCTCACAACCCTTTGTGAAGGAAGAGTCACTCTGCCTCTTCCAGCCCCACCCCATCTCCCCCCTCAAGAGCTCTTCACCTCTGAGCTGAATGAACAAGGTCTTGTGAAGTGAGATGCTAATTTCCAACCCCCAGGCAATGGCAGCAAATACTTTTTATATAGTCATTCATAAAGGTATGCCTCTCAACATGTCTAGTCACTTTAGCTCTATCATGATTCTAATCTCACACACAAATGACTTCAGCCCTGAGACATGAGCAGGGAGAACAGACAGACAGACACTATACACACACACCATCAGCAATCCTCACCATAAGGCGATCTTGGGTAAAAAGGGGTGGTCTCCTTTTGCGGGATTTCTTGCACTTTTCCAAAAAGTTCACTGGTGGAGGCTTGGTAGAACTTCACAGAGTTGATAAGGCCACAGGTCTTAATAGCATCTAGAAGTCGCAAAGTGCCAACTCCATCAACGTCAGCAGTATATTCTGCTAGGTCGAAAGAAATCTTGGGGAGAGAAAGAAATAAAACCCCACTAATTTTACTAGGGGAACCAGAACATGCTGTGATCATGCACAACCAAACAAAGTAATACATCACTTGTCACAGACCATCTAAACACTTCTGTACAGAGTAGATACTCAGAATACAAAAGTATCCTCAAAGGATTTCCAAGAATAAATAAGTAGTTCCATAAATAGCAGAACAAAAAGACTAGTGTTCCCTGGGATTATTTTCCCATGTGAAGTAAGGCGTAAGCCTCCCCCCAGTGGGAACATTATCAGGCACTCTTATCTCCACAGCTGCCAATTTTCACAACATTCACTTGGGCTTAACGTATTTGACACACTTGGATTTGGTTATAATTGCCTAAAATATATTTTAAAAAAATAATAGGCTAGACAGACAGCATGACAGCACAAACATATATCAAAAAAACCCCAAAACTTTAAACGACATCTGAAGTTTTGCAATTTTAACATACATCAAAGTTCAGAGAAGACTAGAAATATCTGCTATCAAAATGAGACTACCCACCCCATCTGACCAAGGTGTACCAGAGCTGTTGCTTTTGGACAGAGGTTAGGGGGATGATGAAGTGTGAGAGCAAAGGGTTGAGGTATCCTAAAGAAACCGGACATATATTCTTCAAAGTATGATAATAAATTCATGCACACTGGTGGGCCAAGAGTCCTTTTTCTCTCCCCACTCCAGTATTTCTCAGTTGTCTTTATGATGAGCTTGTGGCCTATGCCACAATCAATGCTCAAGTCTAAACTTTCAGAGTATTTAAAAAATATATTAGTTCTTTCCCTTTCAGTTACAGCAGAAAAAAATAAATTGGAAAAAGCAAGCTGAAGGTAAGAGATGTGTTGTGACCACCTTAATTTGCAGGCAGGAGAAAACATGCTCAGAAGGAAGCTCACTCTTTTTGCTTGGTGGGTACAGGCTGGTTCTTTGGATGTTCTGACAAAGCTCCTGGACTCTAAGGAATTTTTTCCCACCAGTTCCAACCCCAGAGGCATGTTCCTCCCTCTACACTCTCTCTCCAATCCAGGGATTTTGCCTGTTAGTTTTTAAAAAAATTTTCCTTGTTTATACTGACAATGTTATAAAAAGTAAGGGGAATGGACTTTTAGAGCAATCTCCCTCATGGTCATGAAGAATTATTCTACCTATGTCCCCTCTGGCTGATGAATGACTTCCAGGAATGAGCTATAGAGTGATGGCAACATTGCAGTCCCTTTATAATATCTATGCTGGATGTTAGTGAGACACTACCGGTATCAGACAGTACAAATCTACGATACCCCCTTCATTAGTCTTCAGTAACAGGGGAGTTACTAATGGAGTAGAGAGTAAATGACCATAGTTGGACAAGCTGAGGTGTCACAGTGAAAGCAGTGGGAAACCTGTCACTTACCAGTTAGTTTTTTAAGGATCTTTGCAGATTCAGACAGATAGCCCTATATTAATTTCTTTTGTTAAGCCATTTTCCCTGTTCAGTAATTACTGGAAGTTTAAGGCTTATTTATACAGCAGATGGGAAAAAAAAATTCAATTAATTTGAGTTTTCACTTTTGGTTAATATAATACAGGTACGAAATTATCTGAATTGTGTTCCTGTTCTCCAAAATAAAAAGATTCTCCCAGAGTTTTGATCTGAAATAGCTAACAGTATGAACAAAACCAAACCGTACTTTTTTTTTTTTACCAAAAGACCCCCCCCCCCCCCGCAAAACAAAACCTGATACTTTGGCTTGTTGATGTGGTATGACCCAGCTGAAATTGAGCACGGATCTACCAAGAAGTGATGTGCATTTTTTGTTTTAATCCCTTTGGCACAAAGATGACAGACACTTAAGGTCTCTCAGCTTCAGTGTCTAAGTAACTCTGAGGAAAACATTTTAATGAATAGGTGATACAGTCAACAATGCACTAAGGAACATAAATTTGTATATTAACCACATGTCCCAGCTTTCCAACAAAAGGCAAAACACTTACTAATTGTAGCAGAACCAAGAATTTACTTATATTAAGGTAGTTTCCAACAAATAACCCTGAAAACATCACCCTGAAATGCAAATCTTTGCTTACATATCCTACTACAAAGTAAATGGCATATGTAACTGAGGGAGTCTGAGATAACAGATTATAAAACCTCTTAACCAGAGAGGGTAATGAGGCTGCAGCAGTACAGGGAAATGCTCTCCCTGGCTGATGCAGAGACCAATTTCACAAGAGATGCTTTTCCCTATTGCCTGATGAATGACCTCAATCTTCACCTACAAAAAAAACACTCCCTGGGGTGTGAGGTAATTGTGCCTCCATGCCTACTGGGTCTGAGTGTCCCCAGGCAGAAACCACCAGTTTTGTGTCTGTTGGGTGGTTTTGTAATGCAGACAGTTGTTCACCAGAGTCAAGATTCAGACCACTAAATTCATTTCATTTTGGAGTGCAGGTTAGACAAGAATGGCATTTATGAAAATAAAAGATGATTTTATCTACTAAAACATCGAACACCAAAAATTCTGGACTGTTGAGACACCCTGTAACAACAGGCAGTAAAACTACAAATATAGATAAAAACAAACCAAATTTTAATTTGATTTTAATTCAAAGTTAAAAATGCAAAAGAGTCTTATAAAATACAAGATCAATTAAGTAGTTAAAAATAAAGCAGGGCAGAGCAGGAAAAGGTGATAAGTTATCCCTTACCACATTATTTCCCTCTCCTTATACATATTATTTTGCGCAAGACCCACAGGAAGACTGAACTGTAAAAAGAAACAACAAAACCCAACAAAAACCACACAAAAAAACTCCAACCAACCAAAACAAAACAAAAAACCAAACAAACCCCACAAATAAACAAAAAACCTCCCCAAAAAAACCTCAAAACCAAACCAAACCAAAAAGAAAAACCAACAAAAGAAAGGCAGGGACCTCGTTAAGAGGGATGTGCAAGAGAGAACTGACATACATGCATGCATAACACAAGAAAAGACTGAGTTATAGAAACAAAATATAGAATCAGATTCAATAGATGTTACTCATAGAAATAATCTCCACTGGTGTACTGAGCTCCAGTAGTGGAAATACTTGAGAGAGTAGATATGTCATGGAAATGATTGTAAAGGCAGGTGTATGAAGGCTAAGAACAAGTCATACTTTATGAAAGATTAAACACTTACCCAGTGGAAAAAAGGGCTTAGATAATACCTACAGATGAGAGCTTTCAAACTGCCTACTTTATGACAACTTTCTTAAGTGCCTGAATTAGGAAGATTGTCTTCCTGCACACCAATAAAGACAGTGGTGAGTCACAGCAGAAGGCCTAATGAAGATGCTCCTGATCATGCTTTGGCAAAACCATATACACACTCCTCTATTAATTCAGCTACCTAAAATAGATGCTCCATTCTTTCCTCAAAAATCCAAAATTATCCGTTACTATCAACTGCAAAAAGCAAGACCTGCAATTACAACTTGTTTTGAAGGATGCACCAGAATTTTTTTTGTAATGACTGGAATAGGGAAAAGAAGCTTCTTTGAATGGCAGAAACTTTAAATCTGCAAGTTTTCTCAAAGAATATTGAAGTCATGGATCCAATACTACTTCACCTTCTTTGGACAGACAAAGAAAAAGCACAACATACCAACAAAACAGAAATTGCCTGCTTGGAACATGTTAGTCTGAGTGACCTTGGTACTCCCTTCCCATGTATAATGAGGACACTATGCTTTTGCAGTTGTCATTATTGATCCTGGAGATACTGTAAAGTATATTCTTCAGATACGTCTATTTATTCCATTCAATAGGTAGTGATAAGTGTGCCATTAAAAGTGGACAGAACACTAAGGAGACACTTAAATCCTTGGTCAAAAGTACTTCAAATTCCAGGGTTTCACATTATGAACACTGCAGAATTCCCTCAAAGAATACTAAAACGCAAACAGACTCCTTATGTACGTAGGAGTTCTATATACTGAGTATCTTCACTGCTGGATTTGTCCCTAATATATGCATTTCAAATATATTCTCAGGCAAGAAAAGATTTCCACAGCAAGGCTCACCCATAGAATGGTAACATTTTCTTGAAAAAAGCATAGTTTCATTAGTTATAACACTTTGGAATCACAGGACACAATATGAATACACTGAGCCACATAATTTCTCTTCTTTCATGTGGCTGCAATCACAATGAGTTTTGTGAACTTGTTTCTACCTTTTGAATTTGAACTCTTGCATTCCCTCCCTCCCATTTCTTTATAATCACCAGATTCAATCTCTACAAGAGATTTGAATTTAATAGAGCGATGTTTTAAATATGATGTTTCCCAACTGATCATTCAAAAGCAAGCTTAGCAAGGTCTTTAACAAGATTTAAAAGCTTACTGAAAATTATCTAAATGAAAACATATGGGTCTTACCCTCCACAAGACCACATTCCTATCATGTCTATAAGCACTACATACAAGACTGTCGACTTAGTAATACTTGCTTCTGACCAATGCATTGTCAGCACTGGTGATATTCTGAAAATTATCAAACACAGGTTTGGCTTTGTGAGATACTTCATCTCTGTTTTTTCATTTGGAACAATCCAACAGATGGGCTGCAGTCATATTAACTATCAGTTTTCAACCAAAAAACCCCCTGTATTCTAGCAGAATATGCTTTAATGCTCTACCTAAGGAATATAAACAATGATTTAAAACTTCATCTCTTTCTTACAGCTTTCTCAGTTTCAGAAGATGGAATTTCTGGAAGGCTAGTGTTAATAAGAGGAAAGGTTTTGTGAAACCCCAAAGGAAATAGGATAATATAAACATAAATTATTATTCTTTCTCTGTAAAAGGAAAGGTGGCTAACCTAACTATAACATCAAAATAAGCATCTTTGATCTCTTGAAAAAACCTACTGTAGATTCTTGAGACTTAGCAAAGTAGAAGATATGTATTGGGTCATTGAGAAAGGTTTAGACCTGAAAAGCAAATCACAG